TATGACGTCATAGTGACGTCATCAATGTGTTTTCTGAGGTGGCTCCAAATCTTAAATTGATCAGCATATAAAACTGTATATGTTTGCCAAGTGTCATGCTTTTAACACAAACTGAACAATTTCAGCACATATCCACTGGACTACCGGATTCATGCCTTCGAGGAAGGTCCCGTTTGAACGCTCACATCGGTTTTTTTTTTCGTTTGGGGGAAAACTAAAACTGGTCGCAATTTTCGAATAAGAATGAGTCGGCAATTTTTAGTGGAGTCGAAAATTTGGAGGTAAATAAAACACCGAAACCCGGCAAATAAATAGCCAAGCGAATTTTTAGAGGGGTCGAAATTTTGGAGTTTTCACGGTACTAATTATTCCATTTCAATGAAACTTAGTACAAAGATGCTCTAGGACAATGTACAAACCTAATTAGTTTGGGGTAAAAATCTGTTCATATTAATTCCCTAATAAGCATAATAATTCATAATTTTTTGGTTCTAATCACATTTCAATTAAACTTGGAGACATAGATTTTCTGTTACATTGCGCAGACCTCATTAGTTTTACACTCAAATCTGGTCATATTAATTTTCTGATTTGCATAATTAGTTTTCAGCTAAGTAATTTCGAATTATATTTAATGTGTCTCCAATACTCTCAGCACATGGGAGTTCTTTCTAAGCTTTCTTTGATTTTAAATGTTTTTGTGCACGGCGACAGTTCTGGACATTGAATGTCACTGTTGTCTCTCTTGACTTTTTTTTTTTGTATGTGCAAGTTGCAAGTGCTGACATATAGTGCATATTTGCCACAGAAGCCATATTCATGTTTTGGGAATACACAGATAACGGCTGTGCGGCCATCTCCCTATCAAATGACAATTTAATGCGCTATCCTCGGTCAAACACAAGCACCTGCGGACCTTAACCAAGGTTCCCCCAAAGTCGCTTTCGTTAGTGAATGAATCTCGGCCAGTGGAATTGGCCTTCCCATTGCGTCTGTGGCACATTCACCCAGGGTAGGGGTCAACCCTTTTGATGTTCAGCCTGAGGTAGGATTTGAACTTGGGTCTACCAATTATGAGTCTGATGCAACAACCACTACACTTTTGAAACGGAAAAAAACATGTTTCGATGTAATTTGTTTTTATTAAAAGTGAAGTGAATTAACTGACAATATTATTGAAAGAACAACTTGAAAGAAAATCAGTTATGTTTCATAGATTGAGGCAATTTTTTTAATGAAAGTATGTGACCAGGAAAATCCTGACATTACAAACAAGCCAAGAACTGACCGTATGTATGTATGTACATTTGTATGGAACACACAATCTGCCATGAAATATTTTATTTGTCTTTCCATATTGCCAAGTCAGCTACAGCGTTGCAACAGTTAATACCTGGTATTACAATGCTGCAAAGGGGTAATTTGACAAGTACTGCCATGGCAGTAAAAAGAGCTGCAAAGTTCTCAATTTTTCTTTTGTCTCATCTTTTTGAAACTTGTTTCTTCTTAATTGATTCAATCTCATCCTTCTTAAGTAGTTGAATTCCATGTTTAAATTTACCGGGCTGTCCATCAATACCTTTTTGTAATGTTGGATCTCTCCAGAATCCAAACCTCCTGTTTGAAAAAAAATAATGTTATGTCAATTCTGTGAGAGTTCATGACATTTCAATGACTACAATTCAGTATTCTCTGAGTGACCATACATATGGTACATTCATACTATAACCATATCACCATTCAATTTTACAACAAACAGTTTTAGAATACTTTAAATCTCATGAGAACAAATATTATTGCATAGTTTATGAATTGAGGAATAACATTTTGTCACATCAAATTTGAAAAAGTTTATCGTCAGGGGTACCAATGAAAGTGTAGTTTTTTAATGAAAATCACAGCTTTGCCACCGTGCAGCATAGCTTGGTCAGGAAAAGCTTAGCTGCAGGAATGAAATCCGCTAGTTTTGACATCGAGAACTCAAGCTTTGAACATATTTTGATGTTGAGGGCGTACACAACATGGCTGCCTCCAAAAGCAGTGTTAGCGACCGTAAGTATTTTACTCGTTTTCTAAACAAAATCACCAAGTTATGCTGTGTAATATGCCGCAATCAGTGAAGTTCAGGTTCAATTTCATTTC